GTTCACCAGGCGCTCGCCACACACGGCCCCCAGCCCCATTTGCACCCCCCACCACCTGCACAAACCCCCGCTTTGCCTGCCCAGGAGGAAAACAAGGTGCCAGGGCCAAAGAAAAAGCGGAATGGCCAAAGCCAGAGGGGGAGAACAGAGACTTGCCTGGTGGGGATGCGTCCCTGTTTGTCACCCACTGAGCAGTGACGCTGGAGACATCAATCCATGAGGCCATCGCCTACAGAGAGGGAAGACATTAGAAAAGAGAAATCAAAGGGGTTTCTCTGTCCTGGGGATTCGGCTCCCGGCCCCTCTCCCAGCTGCCCGGGAGGTGTAAAGCTCCACGCTGGCTTCCCAGGGAACCTAAAGCCAGGTCCCCAGCCACAGGGAACACAGCTGTGAAAGTCACACCAGGGAGGTGGCAGGAAACAAAGGACTTTGGACAGACAGGCTTAATCCATTTAAATTCAGTTTCTCTCTAACTTCCCTCCCCTTTCCCCTTCGCCCTCTTCAGAGACCTCTTCCCCCACCTCCCCTCTGTCCTTACGGCAGTTTCACACCCAAGCAGCCCGTGGGCTGGAATAGTTATTCCCCCTCTTTGCTGCTCACAATGAAGCAGAATCGACCTCCTGTTCCCTTCCTCCCCACGGAGGTCTCTTCACACCAAACCCCTGCTGGGGAGGGGGCTGCTGAGAGAGGTTGTCCCCAGTTGGTGGTTCCTGTTGAGACTCACGTTATGATGCCACTTGGCCTGCCCAGGCATTCCCAAGGTCCCTCCCTGCTGGAAGGCCTTAGGGGAGCAGGAGAAGAGCTAATGCTCGTGGCCAGAAGGACTCAGAAATCCCAGGGCAGCTCTGCTGCTTGTGGGAAAGCACTGGAGGAGATGCTGAGCAAGAAGAGCTACTCGTGGGGATGCTCTAACAGCAACATCGGTGACCATCAGGACCTCCCAATCAAGAAGGCTGCCACTGAGCTCCTGCAGCCATCATGAGATCCCCGAACCCCAAATTTGGCTCCAGCCTGGCAGGAGCTGCGGGAAAGCAAGCAGAGCCTGCACTGGGAGATGTTGGTGCTCTGGGGCTGGGAGCTCTGCGGCTGGGGTGGGAAGTGGGACCTGCTCTGCATTCCCAGGACACGGCCGGATCAGCGGGAGAAGGGGAGACTCCGGAGCCCCGGGAACACCAGCTCTTCCCTTTTTGATTTTCCCCTCTTTCCCCTTCCCCTCTCACAAGCCAGGCCCAGGGGGACACACCGAGGACCCTGCCCGGGTGCAGGGACATCTCACCACCCAGCTCTTCCCTTTTTGCTTTTTCTCTCCTTCCCTTTCCCCTCTCACAAGCCAGGCCCGGGGACACACCGAAGACCCTGCCCGGGTGCAGGGACATCTCACCAACAGCCGCTCTCTGGGCACGGCAGCGACTCCCAAGTACGGGCCAGGACCAGGCTCTGTCTGCTCACATCTGGCCCTTCACATCTGGCCGTACCCAGCATTGACATCCTCAGTACAGTTCCCAAAAAAACCCAAACACGAGCGATGCATCACAGAGAAACGAGGCAGGGCCACAGCCTGGGATGTCGGGAAGCCTTTCCCTCCCCGCACACCCGCCGGGGGCAGCTGGAGATCAAAGTTTTCTTATTTGCATACGTTTCTTAAAACAATCTGCAGCTAAACTGGGTCCGGCAGAGGGGATGCTGACACAGCCCAGGTCCAGGATTTCTCCCGTAGAAACGGGGACCGGGAAACCGGGTCTGGGCATCGCTGCCTCCATCTCCAGGGGGGCTGAGAGGATGGTGGCTTTGGCTTCTCCGAAATGAGGAGCGTTGCCTTCCTCCCCCCGTTCCTCTGCATCCCACCATGGGGAAAGCCTTTTTTATAAATCTTAAATAAAGGGCTTGGTGAACCCAGATGGCTTCAGCATGGCCGGTTGTGTGTGTGTCCCCCCCCTCAACTCCTTGGGCTCCTTCTTAGCTTGTTAGGAGCATTTTTACAGGCATTCTCCAAGGGAAAAACAAGGAGCGGGACAAGGAGGGTTTAGGAGAGGACACGGGATCCCCCCCCTTTCCTTTAACAGTGGCTGCAGGCACATTTTGTACATTCAACCCCCCCAAAAAATCCTCGGGGACTGCGATGCCTCGCTGTGTGTGTATCTACGAGGAGCGTGGTACCCCCTAGGGAGGAAAAAAGGCTTAAAATCCGCCTTTTCAACCCCTCCTCCCAGCGTTAAGGGAAAAACAAGGAGCGGGATAAGAATAAGAACACGGGATCCCCCCCCTTTCCTTTAAAGGCACTCGCCGCCTTGCTAATAACACCCCCCCACATCCCCCCCCCCCCCCCCCCCATCCCCATCCAGCCCCAAACCAGTTGCGGGACTGGAAGAGATGCAAAAAGTCGGCGGGGGGAGGTAGGGGGGGGCCAAAAAGAGGAATATCACCCCCCGGGGACCCCCTCGGGGGGGACCCCCGGTTGCACAGACGG